TTTAGGTAACTAGTGTTTTTCTAAGGGCTTACTGACAGACGTCAATACAAGTCAAATCTAGATTAAAGAATGGAATATGTTTGCTCTCATTAGTGACAAGGATAACATTTATTTAATGGTTCTAATGCATTGCCCACCAACCTCTGATTTGTACAGACTAGAAAGGAAACATGTCTGCTCAGTTAGAGGGACTAGACCTCTGGAAGTTATGACCTTCACATGACGACCTCTGAAGTAGTGCAACGAAGCTGAGGAGTCCTCCGATGGACTCGAGGAAGGCAAGCGTCTCTGAGCCTCTTTCCTTGCCAGTTTCATGTCTTTACGAGTTAATATCTTTTTTTTAAAGAGGCAATACCTAGCATGTGTTACATAAATAATGTATAGAAACCGCTTTGTCCTGGATAGTGGTGACTTCTGAAAGGGCTTGCTAATGACAGAACCCCTGAAGAAAAAGCCATACATACACTGCTGTGGTTGAAGCTGACGATCTGATAATTAAGTACTGAGGTGGGATTTTCTGCAGAGATGGCTCTGAAGGTTTTTCTCTAGAAAAAGAAATAGGTGTTGCCTGCCTTTAAAGATGGCCGTAAATATTGTGGAGTCAATAGGTAAGTGAAAGGATCACCTTGTGGAAGGAGGTGGTTATCTCAGCCCTTTCTGCTGTACTCATAAACACCTGACCTTAAAGCCTGCCAGCAGTGGGAACAGAGGGCCATGGAAGGAACCCTTGGCTATTTGAGGACAGAGACCACCACTGAATATTTCTAAACATTCAGAGGCTTCAGAAGCGGAACCTTGGGAGTCTCTCACTAACAAGCACCTTTCCCCTGGGTGGCACTGGGGATTTATAAAACACTCTCCCTTGTAGATTCCCTTTCACCAATGGGATTCTGCTCGCCTCTGAAGCTGACTCATAAGGAATCTAGGTTAGGGAGGCTATGTGGCTCCTAACTTCCTGACCTGTCACTTGCAGCCAAGGTTTGAAGCTTAGACCTCTCAGACCTGTGCTGTTTTCCGCTACTGTTTAGTCACGTCTTGCTAGTAAGCAGAATGTTATTCAGACTTAGCTCTCCTAAGAATGTAGAACTGGCTTAGGTAAAAAGATGATGGGGATGTCATGATAGAGGCTCGCAGTCAATAAGTGTTAAGTATTTGAGAGGCCCCATCAGAATTTGCATATGCTGCTGCATTTGATCCTTGTCAAAAACTCCATGAAAGAGACAACATTACCCTCCTCATTTTGTAGGTGCTGAGATTGGGCAACAGGAAAGAGGTAATTTGTCAAAATCGCGGAGCCCATAGCTTGTGCTGCCAGCATATGAACCCAATCGACTGTCTCCTCTGCAAGTACCCTCAGATCCTGCATCCCTGGGTAGGACTGGATCCCACAGCTTAGCATCACTGGTGTACCCTCAGATCCTGCATCCCTGGGTAGGACTGGATCCCACAGCTTAGCATCACTGGTGTACCCTCAGATCCTGCATCCCTGGGTGGGACTGGCTCCCACAGCTTAGCATCACTGGTGTACCCTCAGATCCTGCATCCCTGGGTAGGACTGGCTTCCACAGCTTAGCATCACTGGTGTACCCTCAGATTCTGCATCCCTGGGTAGGACTGGCTTCCACAGCTTAGCATCACTGGTGTACCCTCAGATCCTGCTTCCCTGGGTGGGACTGGCTTCCACAGCTTATCCCCATTGGTGTATATTTCCCTATTTGAATATCCCTCGAAGGACTGAAACCTGAAACTGCTCTAAATTGGGGCTCTCATAGTAGAATAGGTGAATATCAAGGGACCAGTTTCCTTGCATCAACATAATAAAACAAACTGATTGCTAAGCTAAATTTGCTCAACCTTTATGAAATGAGCAGCCTGAAGAATGTCATGGGATTGTCTGCAAACTGACGTCAAGATGATTGCAGTCGCGGGCATCTTCTTCAATAACACTGACACACTATCTGCCGTTTGATAATGTTCATCCTCAAGAGCATACAAAAAAGATTTAGAAAGGGGGCTAAAGATGTAGTTCAGTTGGTAGAGTGTTTGCCTTGTATGCACAAGGTTCTGGGTTCAACGGCCAGCACTGTGTCAGCCAGGTAGGTGCTGCATATGTGTGACCTAGCACCCAGAAGGCACATAAGACTTTGCCTCAAAAACATAAAAACAGTGCACGAAAGCAGTTGGATTAAAAGCATCCAACTAGAGCTAACCCTCAGAGTGCCCAGTGGAATGAGAGCAATTACACCCCAAAAGGGATTCCCATTATTCTGAAATTTTGAGGCAAAAAAGAAAACCTTAAACTAGACCCATTTACTAGAGGGGTGGAGAGTCAGGGAAAGACTAACCTTAAGACTTGGGGAGGGGATCAGCATGCTTGCTAGATTTCTCTGAAACACTGGCAGTTTCAGTTGGTTAGTACAGGAGGTACAGATGAAAGATCAGATCTGGAGGGTGCAGTTTGGTAGATACATTAGGAAAGTTTGTAGCGTAAGACCCCAAAGAATAGCCAGACATTTGCTTTGCAAGTGTTAATTGAGCATGACTGTCAGGGTTGTTCCAAGAGAGAGAGTAGGTGTCTGTCTCAGGTGAATGAGACAGACAGAGTCACATCTTCCCAGGAATCTGACAACAAACAAAATGTCCAGAAGTGGCAAGGGCTTTAAAGAAAATTAACCTGGTGCCATGAGAAAGTCTCATGGGGTTAATTTTACTGGGGGCCAGGAGAACTAAGGTAGAGGGACTCAGGAAAGATTTGGGCCAGGACAGTGATGTAATATGGTATTACTGTTGGCAGCATTGAGTAAGTGCTTTCTACATGACAAGTGACTTAGGTCATTTCACCCACAACCCCATTCTCAACATAGTTAATGTCAAGGGACAGAAACATGAGTCAACGGGACTCTGCCTACAACCACATCTTGAATTCATGCATTTTGTTTCTGTACCAACTTGAGCCTTGCGATTAGCCATGGGGACCCTATGTGAGAAGGTCGCATGACGAGATCATGCCGGGAGGAATGGGATATTCAGCATCCAATAGCTCACATGCTCCCGAAAGGACAGCAACTGTTAGAATGACCAAGTCAGTGATCAGAGGTGACATGGACAGAATGCTTTAGTGAGCTCAGGAGTGGAGAAGAATTCAGTGCTGATAAGGGAGACCCGCGTTCCAAGAGGCTGAGTTACCTTTCTTTTCTACGGGTGTTGTTGTCGGAGTTTGGGGTTAAAGAAGGGTGGGAGTTTGGGGTTGCTGAGAGAAAGAGATTCAAGAAATAACAGGACCCACACATTTTTTCCCGGGGCATAAGAAGGGGCAGAGAGCAGAGCACAGGGCGAGGACTGGGTAGAGCTGAAAGAGTAACCTCTCTTCTGATGTGATGGGAGAAAAGAGAGAAAGTGCATGGTGGGCAGTGTGGGGATTGATGCTCGCTAAGTAGGTGCCAGTTTATTTTCACAGACTTGCTACAGAAAGGAGGCCCCAAGAGAGAGGAAGGCTTGGAAACAGATCTGATGGAGAGTGAGTGTGGACCTGGGTAACACTGAGCCACTCTGAGCTGCGGACTTCCTCCAGCCGCACTGGCAGCTGGCTCCTGCAGAGGGCTAGGCATGCAGTATGGCAGAAGCTGCTTAGACAGCACCTGTTCTGAGCAGATCATCCAGCTTCTCTGCCACTGCCCCCAGCTCGCAGCCACGCAGCAGCCAGAACTCGCCAAAACTGCACTGCCAGACCTGTCTTCGAATCCGTTGTTTAGGAAAAGCCCCTAAGGCAGGGCACCTCAGCATCAAATGCTTAGTAGGAGGAAAAACGATTGAGGTCCAAGCTTTTCGAAGCTCGTTCATGACTGAAATCGCTCCGCTTTTTCTAGCGCTGTTCTGCTCTGTATGTGTGATGTGCCCTACTGCCTCCCATTCGACGGGGATCCCTTAAAAACCAAACACACAGCTTCTCTGGCATTATAACTCTGTTTGGTACATCTTACGGCAGGGGTGTGGAAGATGGGCAATTTGCTGCTCCTATAAACGTACAACACAGAAGATGCAATCATTTCGAACTGGAGCCTATTAGTCTGTAACCGGCTGCGCAAGTTCAAGTCCACTTCTAGGCCGGGTCTTATTGCTTCATAACTGACAGCGCCAAAGGTCTTACCAAGACCACGCAAAAATGGTCCTCAGGGCATTCTCGCTGTTCTGAGACGTGCCTCAGCTGTGGGTACTTTTATATCTATGACAACAGAGTTTGTTGATAACGACCGTCTTTGCAATGGTCCCTCTCCCGGTTTCTCTAGGACAGTATAAACTGACAAAAGGCATTCTGACTGAGCATGTAGACCCCAGCAAAGGGTACGTGGGCAGCTCTAATTTCTACCTGAAGTCATTAGGAGTTTATAAAACAGTAGAGTCGGACCATTTTCTTGAGCTTTTAAACTTCACATGGGGCATCTAAAGTGAAAAAAAAAAAAAAAGAAAGCACTGTCAATCAGGCAGAACGACATCAAAGAAGAAAGGGGAGAAACTAACGATTGCAAGAATCTAGGCATTCTCTGGCAAGGTGTGGTGGTGGATACAGTAGTCAGCCGCTAGGGAGGTTGATGTCCTGCCACGAGAGAGGCTGAGGTGGGACTGTATGGTGTGAGTTTCAGCCAGCCTGGGCTATGTGTGAGACCCTCCCCAAAACAAGCAAAACTAGAAATTCTTTTTTGAAATACTTTGGGTTACACCAAATTTTATGTGTGAGGCAATGATCACATCATTGTATTACATCAAACAGTGTCGTGACTTCTCTGACACCCTTAAAACCCTTTGCAAATAAAGCCTTGAAAATTGCGAGACACCCTCTGGGAGACGGGGGCTGAGATAATCTGGTTCTTGCCTTTGATTTTACTTAATTATTTATTTACTTATTTGTTTGTGGATGTCTTCTTCTAAAACAGGATCTCACTCTACAACCCAGGTTGGCCTTACACACTGCAGGGAATTCTCCTGTTTCAGCCCCCTAAATGTTGGGATTACAGATGTGAGCCATGGCCTGACTTGTGTTTGCCTTCTTGAATGAAAAGTTTGAAGCCCATAGAACTTGGCCATTCATCACCTCATGAAGTAAAGAAGTGGTCGTTTTCTTAAAGACCATGATCCGGTTGTTTAAATCAAGACCATAGTGCATTTGTTTAAGAGCAACATAATCCATTCACTTTCACTTCCGTTCAGGAATCAGTTTTAATTTCTATTATGTATACTGCATACTTTTGATAAGGATACTGAAGGTCATTTCCCATTTTCCTCTTAGAATTCTGCATACAGATATGTTGACTCCCTCAGGTCCACTTCACTGTCAGCTGTAGATTATACTTTGAAAATTATTTCATTTGATGGAACCAGGAAGGTACAACATAACTCAAAAACACCGTGTAGGAACCCAGAAGGTCAGCCTGGCTGAGTGCAAGTGCTTTAAATCCGGAACTCTGAGAGTCTTGGGCTCTAGCTGCTGAAATATCAAAACTCTGGTGTCAGAGTGGGGATGGGGAGCAATGGAGAGAACCAGGAAATAGGAGGGCTATGACACAGCCCCTAACTTTGGGGTGAGATGGAAAGACCTGGGGCGGGCTGTCAGGCTGGGCTAGAGTGCAGGGAGGAGCCGGGGAGGGAGGGAAGGAGAGAGGGAGGACGCAGCGGGAGAAGGGAGAGGGGCTGGTGGAGCGCAGAGGCCGCCTCGCAGGGCGCCTGGCGGGCGCACCGGGTCCCGCGTGGCCGAGCGTCCTAGTGCCCCAGGCAGCGGCCAGGCTGCCCCGCGCTATGAGGACGCGTCTGAGATGAGCAGTCCACGCGGAGCAGTCCACGCGCCGCTCCGGAGGTCGCTGAGCGAGCAGCTGCGGGACTCCACCGCCAGAGCCTGGGATCTGCTGTGGAGGAACGTTCGCGAGAGGCGGCTGGCAGGTAGGTGTCCCGGGGCCCTAGGTGCGGGTTCCGGCATGGTGCCTGACAGCTGGGCTGCGCGCGGACTGCAGAGTCCTCCCACACCGAGGCGCAAAGGTAAAGCCGGTGGCTGCGTCCCAGATTGGCGTCTCCACGTGGCTCATCCCCTGAGCGCTGGCGAGGGCGGTGCGATCCTGTAAGAGCTTACCATAGTGGCGGAGACCAGAAGTTTGGAGGGAGACAGGTGAACAGTTAGTTAGTGAAAGCAAACAGCTACCCACCACCCAGGTGTCGCTGGGATCCGATGTGCCCATTCTGGGGGCTGTCAGAGAAAGATTTAGGAATCTATTTCCCTCGGATTGAAGGAGAGGCTGTGGTTATAGCCAAGAGGTTTTAAGAACTTTCGCTTAGGTCGAAAGGGGTCCCCATTCTTCACCCACACCCAGCTTGTGTGTTGTGGCGTCAGATGTGTGCCAGCGCTGCAGGAACCACCATCTCCTGACGGGACCACAAGCACAGCCAGTGTTCTGGGCCCTCCAAGCCCGCAGTCACTGCTTTGCATATGCTCAGGAGGACAAGTCGCCCTCTCCACCAGGTTCAAGGGCAGTGCAGTGTTAATGCCTGGCCGAAGCTGCTGGAAGATGCTTCGGGAGTTATGGGAAGTGTGATTGATTGGAGTGCTTCTGAGATGATCTTGACTTGTCTTCTGACCTTGTCTTGTTCGGTAGTAGGCATCCGTTGGTGTGGAAGAGAATTCTAGGAAGGAAGGTATAAAGCTTGGCAGAAGGAAAGGATGCCACAGGTGAAATAGCCTTGACCTTTGGACTCCCCATTTCTCCTATTTAACCTGCAGAACAAGCCCCCCCTCCCCATCAGCCTGAGAGCATTCTGGGTCAGATGCCCCAGCCCAGGTCACTTTGAATAGAATGCCCTTATCAGACTAACTCAGAAGAAGGCATCGTGAATGATCCGACACTCAGTGTAGTAAGCAGTACATGTTTACCCATATTTTCTTTTCAGCACAGTGGCTCTGTTTAGTTGGCACCCAACAAATAAACAGACTTTTCCACCTGGACCCAAAAACAAATTGGGTCACTCAGTAGTTTTGGCTGTTGACTTTTAAAGACCTGTAAGCACATGGTAGACCCTGGAGAGAAGCAGTTAATAACCCATCCCACCGGCCCTCCTGTGCCTTGCTTTCCTATTACGTTAGGTTGTATTGTGTTAGATTGTATCGTCTCTGGGATGGATGTTGTCAGGAACCTCCTGTGGACCAGTGAGTTTGCTGCTTCTTAACTCTGGAATTCTTACTGCAAAGGACTTTTTGATAGCGTCTGTTGTTCAGTTCTGTGGTGTTGGTTATGTCAGTGCATCCTCAGGAAGCAAGAAGGCTCTCCAGGAGGGTTGCCAAGGCTGTGCTGGGTTTTTAGCGCTGAGACCAAAGATGACTGCAACCTCTCCTCCAAACAGAGAGCTTGGAAGGAACAGAGTGCTGTAAAGGCTTCAAAGACTATGTTCATGGGCATCTTAGACATTGCTGTTAAGGCAGTGGCAGCAGGGACTAAAAACTATAGGTAAAAAAATAAACATATTTAAGACCACAAATATGAAGTTAGATCTGAAGGCTAGATGCAGCTTCAGAATGTTAAGCTTAAGAGTTCACTCAGAGGAACTCAATTAATTTTTGAAATAGTGGTATGAGGTTTTAAAATGTTTAATCAGAATATTAATATCTGCCTCCCAATAATCTTCTCACCACCCTGCTAACAGCAAATGCCAGGAGGCTATTCAACTAGGACCAGACAACTCTCTGTAAAGTGGACTTCAGTTTCTGCCTCTCTAAGCTCCTGGGCTGCATGCCACAAAACCAAGCCAACCCCATGGAGGAGCTTTTAGATGCAAATTGCTTTTCTTGCTAAAGTAGCTAAAATATGGAACTTTGGCCACCAGACACTGAAATGCTTCAGTTTATTAATGTTGGCATCACTTCCAGCGGAAAGTGCTCTCTGTTGGTGAAAGTCATCTTTATAAGAGTCAGGTCACAGTATCAGACACCTGATCATGTCCCCAGAGAGCATGTGCTCTGAGAGGGACCCTGTCTTGTTTGCTTGAGGTTTTATTTTGTTTCCTTTATTTTCTTTTCCTATCAAATAAAAGTGTCGTGCCTGCTTGTCTTCAGCTTGTTAGGCTTTCTCCCCTTGAGCCTAGTGGACCGACCGGGGCAGAGAGTGCTGTAGAGCACACTTGTGTTGGCTAGCCAGAGTGCCCTGAACATATTGAGTCTAAGGAAACCCTTGTTCTAACTTCGCAGTCTTCCTGAAAAGTTGTCCCCTCAACTCAACAGAAACACAACAAAGAAATACAACTGAATGAAGAATAAAAGGAAAAGGAGCACGTGACTGCTCCTAAGGGGTTGAGGCTTTTATTAGAGATGTAAGGGAGAACAACAGGCAGAGGCATCTGGCAGAGTCCAGAGTGGACATGACCAGCCAACTGAACAGGGCGGTGTGGGTAGAGGAGAGAGGAGCGAGGGGAGAGTCAGAAGCCAAGAGACCAGGAGACCAAGGGAAAAAAGAACCCATGGCACCCCAAATGGCTGGGTTTTCTAGCAGTCAGAAAAGCTAGGGGAAGGGAAACCCAGCCATTCCTTGTGCTGGGGTTTACGATAGAGGATGGGATGTGCCAGCCAGGAGGACCCTGTCACAGGGAGGGACTGAAGGATGCTGGGAGCACCTGGTGGCCAGAGTCCGCTATGATATGTTAATAGCACTATTACCATTTGTCCTGAGTTTGAGAGCTAACACAATTAAGTGCACATATAGCAAAGTCTGTGGATTTCCTTGCCTTATGAGCATACAAAACGAGAAAAACACATTTCTTAACATAGATCGCAACGACCTAAATGAGACAAGTAATGAAAGACCAGGGAGTTCCTGTCAAAGAGACAGCAAACACCCTCCTGGGGCTCTCCAGTTCTGTGGGCACTAACAGCTGAATGAGCTCCCCACTAGACAGGTGAATTTACCAGAGTGTGCTTCGTCTCTCCCAGGATTCTAACTCCCATGGAGCCAGCAAGAGTTTTCTCATCTGTCACCTCCATATTCCACACGAGTGGCAGCAATTGTTTCTCAAATGACAAAGCTGGTTATTCACATTCAGGTCATCAGATGCTAGAGGACATGCCGCCTGTGTCAAAGTCCTAAGATTCGAGAAAATACAGACCGGTGGAGATATTCTGTTACCACAGTTAAAAACCGTAACAAAAGAACCTGAAAATCTGCTTCTTCTGTCCTGGGCTGGCAAGGATAACCCTCTGCACCTAACCAAGCTCGTCCCCAACTCATTCCACTGCCATGGTTAGCATGTGAGCTTTCAGAGGTTTGAGACAAATCAATAGTCAGACATCTTGCTTGTTGGAGCCTGTAGGCGTTCACCCCACCCATCGTTGGAGCAAGGGCAGTCAGTTGTAACCTCTAAATGAACTACCATTTCTTCCAGGTAAGTGAGTGACAGGCCCTTCAGCTCGCCCTGTTCTCCAGTCAGCAGCTGCCAGTGACAATTCTGTGTCTACACGGTCATTAAATTCTTTTGGCCAAAGCACACCCAACTCAGCACTTTGAGCTACTTTTCAAATGCTAATGACTGAGGAAGATCCCAATGACTTCTGGAAGGCTTCCTTCTCCTTCATACTGGAAGTCTCCCAGTGTTTGATTCCCTTATACTCGCATAACAATATTTAGGTAATGTGTATGTTAATTGATACCACATCTTTTGTTCTTTCTTTCTTTTTTTTTTTCAATAGTCTTCTGCTAGATTGTTTCTCTGAGACCCAGGAAGTTAAACTGCTGTCAAGAATATACTAACTTAAAACCCTGAAAAGTTTTAGTTGCTTTAGGAACCGTAGTCCCACCAAGTTCCCGCAGGTTCCTGTTAAGACAGGTCCCTTGATTCTCAAAGTCAAGAGCGGCGTTCTGTCACATGATGTAAACACAGATTGGGACTTCGATGCCAAGCAGGATGGAGAATAAAGCGTGGTCCATTAAACATTCCTTATTAAAATCTAACTGCGTGCCATGACATTACAAGGACCGGATGGCCCTAGTGGATCCTTTTCATGTTCCTGCTATCTTTTCTTACTATCACTTCGGCGTGAAGACTGGGCTGTGCTGCTCCCACAGGGGTTTGTCATTGCCGCTCCTGCTGGGACAGCACTGAAATGTGCTTGATCTTTACAGTAACAAAAACATCTAAGTCGAATGACAAAATCCAAGAAGGTTTATCACCGCGATCAGCGTTCCCGACCTTCACTAACCTCAGGTTCACCTCAGCCTTTCAGAGAGCTGGGACCCAAGCCCCTCTCTGACACTCTCTCTCCTTCGCAGCTGGGGGAGGGGGAAGAACTGATTTACATTAAGTTCCCCATGATAACTCATGAAATGTGGAGCCTAGTACAGGGCTATTCAAGTGAGCACACCTAACCTAAAACTCAAAATCTGAAGTGCTCCAATTGTGAATTTAAATGAAACCAAGGTGGCAGGGGGCCACAGGTGAAATATGCCACTCTGTCCTCACGGATGCACCATGGTCACATGTGTGTACTGCCCAGCTTCTGCACCCTGAGGGATGGAAGATTCTGGAGTCCTTTCATCTGTGATATACAGACTTTTATCCATCGTGAAATTATTAAACATATTACATAAAATTCTATACATGTATATGATATATATGAAGCATGGATGAATTTTGTTTAGACTTGAGTCCCATCCCTAAGACATCTCACGGTGTATATGTAAATATATTTCAAAATCTGAAAGAAAAAAAAAACACCAAACAAAGACCCGAAACACTGCTATTCCCAAGCATTTTAGCTAAGAGATACTCAAACTCAATTGTGAGCACCTAAGCAAAGTGAGGTGAGAGGGAATTTATCCTTTTGAAGGGCAAGAACAAAACAAAACAAACAGAAAGTCAGCAGGGCCTGGAAAATAATGAAAAAGCAAGTCAGTGAGAGAAAATGGTGGCAGACACGTGGCCAGGATGGCGTTAAAGGCTTAGGTAGGCTTGCTACCAGGGAAAGACGTTTAGCTTTGAGTCTGAAATGGACTTCACAAAGAGTAAGGGGTAAGACCAAACAAGCTGCCACCAACAATGGCGCAGCCGAGGCACAAACTAGGCTTGAATGAGGGTAATGGTGGTGGAAATGGACGGATGAATGGAAGTAGGTGATAGAAACGGGCATCTGTGCGGTGCTGCAGACGTGGAGACACTACCTGGACCAGCTCGTTGTTGGAGACTGGTAGGGTCGGGTAAGAACAGGCAATAGAGGGAGACGCTGTTGGCTGAGATGGGACCACGGGTGGATCTGCGTGGAGGGAAGAAGAGTGAAGAGCCCTCTGTCACGTGCCGGCCTATTCCATGCAAAAGTCAAAGGGCTGGGTTACAAACACAGCTCTGAGATGAAAAGCAGAGCTAAAGAAATGGGGGTTAGAGTTATCACCATATAACTACTCCATAAAACTGTTGACGGGGTGGGGCTGCTTAGGACGAGAATATAGATAAGGTGTGTGTTGTGGAATATTACTTTAATTCACAAATGTGTGTTACGTTTGTTTATGCTGTGGAATATCACTTTAACTGTGTAAAGATGTGTTACGTTTGTTTCATCTTGCCTGCCTAAGGCGCCTGATTGGTCTAATGAAAACCTGAATGGCCAATAGCTAGGCAGGAGAGAGGCAGGCAGGGCTGACAAGCAGAGAGGAGAAGTCGGAAGAGAAATCTAGGCTGGAGAGAGGAGGGAAAAAGAGAGGGACACACCCAGGGCCAGAAGTCAGGCAGCCTCCAGTCAGACATGAGAAGCCGTGAAAAGAACATACAGAAGGAAAGAAAGGTAAAGCGCCTCAGGGCAAACATAGCTCAATAGGTTTAGTTATAGAGCTAGCAAGGAACAAGCATAGCTAAGATGGAGCATTCATAACTAATATTAGGTCTCTGTGACATGATTTGGGAGCTGGTTGATGGCCCAAAAGAAAAAGCCTGCTACAGGGAGGGAGTGTTCTAGGACTTTCCTTATTTAGAACACAACAGTTAGACTTGAATATATATGAGCTATATGTTCTTAGGGGCACTAGATCATTAGCAATATTGTCCCAAGCTCTTCATTCCTCAGCGAGATATTCATACTATATTGAATACTCCTTTATGAGAGATAGACTCATTTGGCACTAAAATTGTTGATAAATTTAATAATAGTAATAATAAATTCTTCATTACTAAAGTGTCTTTTAATTTCAATTTTATATTATATAATAAAAATAAAAAATTTAGTCAATATTTTAAAGAATATCAGGAGAATACATTTTCAAAGTCGCCCTCACCCTACGCTCACAAAAAGAAAAAACATGAGGATTCAATATCAAGTGGTCTTAGCACAGGGTCGGTTATGGTTACTGCAACTTGTTGGGTTCCTGTATAAAACAGGTAGGAGTTTTCAGCTGGATAGGAACAGTCTGATCCAGGAAAGTCTAGTAAGGAAGCTTTCCCGCGTTGACTTTCTCAGTACTGCATCCAGTAACTGACATCATCAGTCCTACTTTACCCACAAATATGTTGGCTGAGATGAAATTTCGCATAGGAAAACAGGTTGCCACCAGCCTACGGTTTATTGTTTGCAAGGAGCTTAGCTTATACTTGGGCTAGCCTGATCGCCAAGCTGAGGGAGCAGAGTCCTCCTGCAGCCGGCACAGAGAAAGACCATGTTAATTGTGTGGTTCCCCTGAAGAAGAAAAAGGGCCCAGCTAACTGTCTGAGGCTCCTCCAGAAGACCATCCGACATGCCCTGTGGTGTGCACATGTGTCAGCTGCCAGCGATCATGCAGGCTTCTCCTTCATGCTTTTTCCATTTTTAGGTCAAACAGAGCACTTATCAAGAAAAAAAAAATCTGCCTGGTGACCTTGCGGTGTTCTGGGGATTCAGCCATTAGGATATTTCTATCTATGCCCTTGTGCAAGTGTATGATATTACAAAGTGAAAATACAAGCAGTTTGGAAAGTGTCACAACAGTCTTGAGGCTGATTCAGTCAGTGAGGTGGAAGGGCAAACATTTGGCGTCACTTTTGCAGTCGGTCAATAAGCATTGAGCCACGAAGTAACATCCTCAGCAAAGCCTGTGGGGACAGACCTACAGAATATGAACCCCAGTCTATGGTTGTCTCCCGGCAAAGCACATCAGTTTTGTCCTGCTGTTCAAATCACTTACCCCAAGTTTTTGGCCCAGAACGGAGTGAGCTTCCAGAAACTGCGGACAAGTTCAAACCACGTGGCAACTGCACAGTATCTTTACACTGTGCTAAACTGGCCCAGGCTCTCAGGCCAGGTCTTCCCTTGGTCACATTTTCAGCCTTGAGCATGACATGGCTCTGTGCTATGATTACTTTTCATAGTAGACTATATTATTTATATTCCATCATAGCATATGGAACTTTTTGGAATGTTCCTTTCTCTTTCTGCGTGATATTCGATGGATAAGGACAGCTAGAGCAGTGGTTCTCACCTGGGAGTCGCCACCCCTTGTGGGTCTTCCCGGGGGTCGCCGAAGACCACTGGGAAGCATGGATGTTTACGCTATAATCCACAGCAGTAGCAAAGTTAGAGTTATGAGGTAGCAAAGAAAATAATTTTATGGTTTTAGGTCACCACAACCTGAGGAACTGTATTGAAAAATCACAACATTAGGAAGGTTGAGAACCACTGAACTAGAGGCTTTTCTTTGAGCTGTCCGCTCACAAATAATGACTATTAATTATGAAGGCCCGGCCTTAGCTTAGGCTTGTCCCGCCTGCTCTTAGAACTTAAATTAACCCATTTGTTTTAATCCACGATCTGTGGCGTAGCCTGTTGCCTCATCTCTCGGTACTGCGCATGCTGCTTTCTCTAAGGCAGGCTGGCAACTCTGCCTTCCTCTTCACAGAGCCTCTCTGTCCCCAGAAGTTCCACCCAACCTGCTCCTGCCTACAGCTGTTGGCCATTCAGCTCTTTATTAAACCAACCACAATGACACATCTTCACGCAGTGTGAAGGGCCATTCCATAACATTTCCATAGCTCTTAAATCAAAAGCCATGGTGAGGCGAGACTCCGACTCTTAACTCTCCACAGCAGAATCGTAGATATGAAAGAGGGCTAGGAGCTGTTTGGGACATCTTACGTAAAATCACAGCTGTACAGTGGATAGTCAACGTGCGAAACCAGCACTCTTCAGTTATGAGAGGAAAGCAATATTTGTCATAGCTGTGACTACAGTACTGAAAGCAGTGATTGTTTTGTGTGTGTGTGTTCTTTGACTCTTGACTCATAAAACCACACAACTCAGGGGTACTGGTGTGTGATGGAAGACCATGTGCACACCACCATGATCTAGCAGCTGATGGAACTAAGACCTACCTGAGTTTGTATCTTAACTTTGCTATTTAAGCTTCAGGTTTGGGGTCCAAATTTACCTTGGTGTCTTGTTCCCTTGTGTTCTAAAGGGTTGCCAAGCATAGAACATACTTCTATGCTGTTATGAGAACTGAAGGAGTTTTCTACAAAAGAAAAAAAAGTCAGTTCATGTCTGCCTCCAGTAAACACTACATAAGTGTTAATTTAGGAAAAATTTATCTGAGGTATGACGTGCCAGATACATGAGATAAGAGGATTCTTTTAGCCCTCACTGTAAACCACCTATTCCTTTCAATGCTGGATTCATATTCTTGACCCTATATGTTTGAACCCCACTAGGAGTTTCCAAGGGTTAGGACCTTAGCCTTGCTTTTCTTATTCTGACAGAGATACAAGCAGTCAAATGCTGGACATGTTGTTAGCATGGATGGCTGCACCCTAATCAAGTCCATTTGTATTTTAAGTTGTTTATTGATTATGCTAAAATTTTATGACTTGTTCGTAAAAAAATATTACCATCCATTTTGGAATTATGCAGCCAAGAGTCATTCGCATGCCCTTAGCCTAACTGGAATTTGATGGAAAATATGATAAAATGAGAGAGATGATGAACTAGCTAATCTCTAAGATTGCATTTAGCTCTTCAATGAAGCCATATAACTAGACTGAAGAATTAAGTAAACATCACAGAGTTAAGTCCCCCTTCTGTAGGAATTCTGTGGGGTGGTCTGATGAGTGAAAGAGGGAAGAGGCCTAGAGGGTGTCCATGACCGTCTTCCCCATGCAGTTTTGGTCTCAGCACACAGCAAAGCATCTCACAGTAGGTCCCTTCTAGAACTGGAGCTACATCTACCAGAATCAAAGGAGACCAAGTGCCAGAACCTTGAGTCTGCAAGCACTCTTAAAGTCTGTACAACAAGCAGCGACAGGGCTCAGCGGGCCAAGGCACCTGCTGCCAAGGCTGAGGACCTGTGTTCAATCCCCAGAACCTACACGATGGAAGGAGACAACCCACTCCTGAAAATTATTCTCTAAGTCCTGCATGCATGTACCCATAGGCCTTTCACTGCAGTTGTGCCGGGCTGCGTAGCTTCAGGGGCAATGCCTCCTGTACAGAAATCTGTAATCCCATCCCTAACACAGACACCAATCACCACCACTAGGGCCAGTGTTCTGGTGTTAACCTTTCAAAACTCTCAAAATTAACTGAAGTCCCATTTTAATTTTTCATGGGGCCTTCTATGATAAACAGTCATGTGTGTGGTGGAAACCAGGCCCTTGCTGAATCAGGCTTTGCTTTGTAAGTTTGCCTTGTTTGTTCTGTTTTATTGCTTGATGAGTTGAACACCATCATGATGAAATGAGACACTTCAAGGAAATGTTGTCCTTGATTTTCACAGTTATAATGACTATAATTTATTACATACATTGAAGCAAATATTTTAATTTCTATTTTTAAAGTATGTGACTTAAAGTGTGTAAGAAAATTGGGACAAGGCACCATACTTGGCATGCTACACTTTTAAATATGTGTTTTGCAACTTCTTAATTAAGCTGTTGCTTAATTAAATATTTACTCCTTTTTACAATGCCCATAACAGATTAATTCATTAAGTCGCTTCTATTTAAACCATTACCGCTATTTCCTGTGCAGCTTTCACCTGGGGTGCTCACCCAGCAAAGGAAATTAGCAGCAGTTATAAGCCTCTCATTTATCACCAGGGGTTTTCTGGACCCCTGTGCCAACACTTCATTTTGTCATAATACCCATCTGTCTGGAAGGAGTACCAGTGCTGATGGAGTCTCATCTCCCTCATGGCGTAGGTCAGATCTTCCTTTGCCAACAGCAACTCCATCTAGAACTCCTTGTCTGCCTATCTAGAAAATGCAATTATTTCTAGTCAATTAAGAGAATTGCATGGGCCTGGAGAGATGGCTCAGTGGTTAAGAGCACCAGCTGCTCTTCAAAAGGACCTAGATTCATCTCCCAACACCCACTTGGTGTCTCCTAGCTCTCTGTGACTTCATTTCCAGAGTATCTGATGCCCTCTTCAGCATTTCCTGACATCTCCAGGCACATGGTACATGTATATACATGCAGGCAAAACACATATGCGCATGAAATAAAAAATAAACACAACATTTAAAAATAATAGCATTTCCTTTTTTTTCTTGCCCAAACCCATCTAAGAACATATTTAAACACCTCTGAATAGTTACACAAATAAGTGAGCAGATCTAACCAGCTGACTATAGACATTCCCAGAAAGCTGACCTGCCCAGCAACAGTATCCTCACCCTCAGGTGAATGGGCACAGCGTGATGATCCATGAAGAGAAGCTAGCGACAGTGGCTTTGTGTGTCTAGTTCTGATCAGAAGGTAAGTATGAGATGTGTGGCTGTTTCAAAGGAAACCTCTAACGAGTTTTATACTCCAGATGAGGGACACTAAGTCTGTAGTGAATCAGACAGTCATAGCACCGTAGTCCGAACTGGGAATTTAAACCACTGGACCGCTGTTGGAAGGGCTCCCAGATTAATGCTTCATCTAATGACTTGTTTTCATGGCTGTACCTGGCTCTAGGATCACGCTGTTCCAAGAGACATGCCAGCTGCCCCAGCTTTGTACCAGGGATGTAGAAGCTATGCATTGTGTTTCCAGTCAGGGTATGCGTTGGTGATGTTGTTCTATCAGCAGTAGCTACCTTGCAGTGTGCCCTACTGAATGCCAGCCACTATGCTAAATACCTCTCTTCTTATTTTAATGCCCAGACAGTCTGGTAGGAACCAGCAGGGCAACTGTTACCACGCACAGAATTTTACAGCCTTCTAAACACAACTGTTTCTTCACAGACTAATGACATAGACAGAGGTATACTTCGTCTGAGAAAATGCAACCCCTAGGCCATAGGCTCAGTAAATACGATCTTACCCTGGGCAGTTTCAGCCCCAGGACATCCGTAAACGCTCTGCCTGGGGTACGGCCGGACAGTTGCCTGCTCTGCTGCCGTCCTCACTTCACAGTGGAGAAACCGAGGCCTGGAGAGGTCAGGTGACTTACTCAACGCTCACATCTGTGAGACTCAGAGGGTACAAAGTCCCAAACAGCACTGAGTCATGACATTGCGTGGGTGTCCTAGGGACAAGGGTTGGATGACTTCTGGAGCACAGCTGCTTCAACACAGCCCAGAGTGTAACCGAGGGAGCCGTCCAGGGCACTCTGGCGCCTTTGGGTTTCTATAGTAACAATGATGATGATTCGTGATGACCCTGAACACTTGTGTAGGGCTTTGCAGCTTCGTATCTGCTCATTACTACAACAGTGACTTAATATTAACAGGGTTTCACAAAGATCCTCACAGGGAGGCTGTGTGGGCAGAATGATCTTGATGACGTTAATTATATAGTAGAAAAAAGAAAAGTCATGTGACTCCCAAGGGTCCCATGGCCAGAGGATGGCAGAGGGGATTTAAATTCAGGTTTCTACCCCATGTTTGCTCTTCTGGTACCCCCCACCCCCCACAAACATGGGCTCACTCTCTCCAGGCCTGTCTGATGCTGTTTAGTGAACTCAGAACTCCCAAACTGGACAACACATCAGAGCTGCCAGGAGGGCTCCGTGAAATCCAGGTTACATCCTCACCAGTTCTGTTGTATGTTTGAGAGTGGAGGGGGTGCAGGGAGAAGGAGATGATATGTGTTTTGTTTTGTTTTTTTTTTTTTCAGCAACTTTTCCAGATGATTTAACTATCTCTTTGTATATAGACTGCCTGGTGCTATCCTCCTGCTGGCAGTGACTGGAATGGTACAGCCATGGTCATGACCTTTGGCCACCTCAGGTCCTATGCCTATGCTGTCTTCAAGGTCTAATGATTGACATCCCTTGTGCCTACCCAGATCCCACCCAGTTTCTGATGGATTCACTAGTGTCTTCATACCAACATTTGCTCCCCTTCCTGAGGGTCTCCTGCCTTCTTCTCTTGGTGCCTTTTGTGGAGTTAAAGGCTGGATGGATCTGCTCTAGGAGGTTCTAACACAACCCAGCCCAGTGCTTTTCTGTTTGTCATCCTTTACTCTAGTTTCTTCTTTCTTGCTGTGATAAAATACTGACTAAAACCACCTTGGGGGAACAGCATGGGACTTCTGTGTCCTGATCACAGTCTGTCACTTGTGGATGTCGGGACAAGAGTTCAAGACAGGATCCGGGAGGTAGAAGCTTCCATGGAGGAACACTGCTTACCACTTTGCGCCCTGTGATTCAGCTTGCTTTCTTACACAACCCAGAACCGAGTGTCTAGTGGTGACACTGACCCCAGTGGACCGGGCACCCCCATCCATCACTTACCACAAAAATGCCCCTATAGACTTGTCTATGGGCCAATCTGATGGGACTGTTTTCTCAGTTGAGGTTCCCTCATCCCAGAGGACCCTCACTGAGTCAAGCTGGAATAAAGACCAAAGGGTCATGTCCTTTTGCTGTCCACTCTAAAGAAGGAGGAAGAGGGGGGTATGACAACATTGCTAGAACGTGCAGACCTGGGTCCCCTCGGACGTCACCCCTCGCCTCTCCCTTGCCTCAGCTGCACATTTCGCTCTGTATCTTACTGGCAAGAGTTTGTCGTACAATAGGGACACTTTGTGTTTCCTTGTGATGTGTATAGTCCTCGTGGCAAAATCACCCAGTGGCCAGCTTCTGAAAGGTCAGTTTCAAGATGATTTCAGTCCAAAAAACAAACAAACAAACAAAAACGTCCTGTCCCTGTCTTTCCTTGTACTCAAAGAACCACAAAACATTAAGATCCACAGAAACCTTATAAAATTATCTTGACTGAGTCTTTCATGAAGACCAGCCAACTGGACCAGAGGAAAGTTAACCCCTTCCTGTCACCTGTTGACAAATCCGACATTGCAGCCACATTCTACATCACACCAAGTGATTCTTGGGATTACAGGTGACTCTGTACTTGACCACTCATTTGTAAACATAATGCTTATTTCCAAAGTTTATCTACTAGAGTACAGTGTCTTTGGGAGAAAGGTACCAGCTTAGTGTCGGGAGTAAAGCCTTTGCAGCGATGCTAACTTTACAAGGGTCTGTTGGTAAACTAACTCTGATTCACTGATGGAGTAAAGGGAAGGTTCCTGGCTGAAGGGGATTAAAGGCATCTTCTTCCTCCCTCCTAGATGCCGAATAGACCCCTGGTGACCCCCAACCCCTGGCTTGTACAGATGCCACCCCTAGTGTTTGGCATACTTTATGTCATACGTCAGCTTTGTCGATTTATGGAAGATAACATTTCTTTATTTATTTAGCCTCGCAGAATCCTATCGGAGCTTCTCATCTCATAACTAAAGGGAACAAAGACTGCTGCTATTGTGTGTGTTGTGCAACACTATTCCCGTGGAGACACAAACAAATATCTACTTACCCTAGATAAGGAACCATTGCAGATCAAAGTACTGATAATCACTAAAGTCCTACTTGGTGGAATGAGTTTTACTGGGGTTACTTATAGGAGTATGGGTGAGAAGTTACTTATCAGAGCATGCATGACTCAAAGACATCACCAAAGCCCACCCCCGACGTGAGTGATGGCCCATCAAATCTAGAGCAGTTCAATGGACTGTATTTTCCAGGCAACTAGCGTTATGTGAGTCACATCAAACAGCTGGTCTGGTCTCTGACTTCCAGGTAGCTTGGTTCCTCCGAGATTGTCTTTCAAAAGTCTTTACTACTTACATAAACTTAGGTGTGGAAGGGCTTAATAAATCTGTTCAGTTTCAGGGACCTCCTGAAGCTTTTGAGTTGTTTGCTTCTCCAGAAAGACTGCTTCACCTTCCCTTAGAACATTCTGTGTCTTTAGGAGCTTTCCCTTGAAGATGGAAGGTTTTACCTTTGGAAGAAATTGTTATGCATCAGGTCTAGGTGAACAAAATGGACAAGTTGTAGTTGACATTTAATTAAACTGTAGCATGAATAGTAAAAATCCAGAGACAGATATTGGGGTTCAGGGTAAAGATCAGAAAAGCAAAGCAGCCGGCCACTAGAGAGACTTTTTACCTCTACCAAATCTTCAGACCAAAAGGGCGAGATCCTGTCTCCACAATTCCACAGACTCTACACTCCTGTGAGTTCCTGTCTCTTCCCCTTTATATTCCCCTCTCTGATCAACCATATTGCTCCTGTCTCCACCTCCCTAGTGCTGGGATTAAAGGTTCATGATGCTCAAACACTGGGATTAAAGGTGTAAGCTACCACCACATGGATCTGTTTCTTGATCAATCTTGTATAGCCCAGGGTAGCCTTGAATTCACAGAGATCCGTCTGCCTCTGTCTCCTGAGTCCTGGGATTAAAGGTGAGTGCCACCACTCCCAGACCTCTAGTAGCTTAGTTTTGCATTCTGATCTTCAGGCAAGGTTTGCTTATTAAGATACAAATAAAACATCACTACTTTAAACATCTCTTTTATCTTCTAAGATGCAAGAGTTTCTTGGGGGGCATTTTCAGGTATGATAAAAGTACTGAAGAAAACAGTATAGTTTTAGATCCCCAAGCCTTAACTCTATTTTCAGGATACACCAAAATTCTCACTCACTTAATTTATTCGGCAAATACTTACTATCACCTAGTAGGGAAGCATTGCTCCAGCGTTTGGTGACTTGGTGTTGAACACAGAAGACAAAATCAGTGCCTCTACATGGGCTTCCATTTGATTGGTAGAGGCAGAAAATAATAAACACATTATTGTGAGTGTTAGAAATATCACGAAGGAAAAAATGTCAAGGAACTGGAGACTGGGGAGTTGCTGCTGATTTGGGTCTAATGGTTGAGATTCCTAGTTCTGATAGTGAGATTCTTGATATCTTTGGCAGTTTGGGTGAATAAACATAACCATATACTGGGTATTAAGATGGGAAGACAAGAGAAGACAAGAGTGTAAACGAGAGACATTAGGGGATTCTTAGAAATATCTTTATTTTATATCTCGGTTATATACAAAATGTTAAGTTGCTGCTTTTAAGGCCTAGGATTTGATGAAGGAGAAAGAAGATGGTGACTGAAACTCTGTTACCCCAACAGGAGAAATTCTTTTAGCCTATTCACTTGGAAATGTCTTAAGTGAAACTAACTAAGCAAATTGTCTCTCAGATATCCACTTGAAAAATTTCCCCCAATAGTTGTGTTTAAAAGTAACTGAAAGAGTGAATGGCTGCTCTACGTCAGATTATCTGCTGTGCTTTGTATTGAGCATAAAAACATGAAAAGGACACCTGCTCTCATCCTCAAGGACAAGCATAGTGGTCAGGAAATGAGAAAGCCATTGAGGATGAAGTGGATTTGACCGAGGGGAACCTTAAAATCGCCCTCTGTGACAGAAGGACAGGCTGCATGCAAAGGCAGGCAAGAAGCTGCATCAGTAATCCTTCCATACGGCAGAAACTCAAGGCACAAGCAGGACAGTAAGCTGCGATGGGAGAGGGAGGTAAACCATGGGTGCCCACAGCAGATAACCTGCAACGTTTTAAGTAAATTTGGATTGTGGGTGAGAACCAGCTTACTGGCTTTCTGATGGTGCAAAGGTGACACGCCATCCAGAGAAACCACTCTACAAGGTTTGAATTTTGCTCTTGTCCTGAGCTATCTGGTCAAATCTTTCTTGGGATGCTGTGCAGCAGTCAGGAGGTGGAGCTCCAGGGCGCACACCATTGTGGTTGTAGGAACGTCCCATCCTTGACCACAGATATCATCAATGTTGTTGGGTTTTGTTCGTTTGCTTTGCATGTTGGTGCTTGGTGTTTTCCCATTCACCGTTTCTTTGGAACAACCATCTCTGTGTGTGCACGGAATGGTCCGCCCTTCATTAGAAAACAGACTTTGTGTCAGATGACTGCGCCCAAGCCTAAGCTGATGTAACAGTTCTCCGCACATTAACGCTATCCTCGATATAAACATGATGCTTGGCAGGGTAGGTGTATTACATACATTTTTAACTTATAGTATTTTCAAATCCTGATAGGTC